ATATGAAATAGGAGGAACTAAAAGTGTATATCCAAGGTGCTTAGTGAATCACTTAGGGAGATGTGTGTTCACACACTGAAATAGGGCTTCCCAGTATTGGACCCCCAGATCTCTAAGCTGTGGTTTTTATGTGATCCAATTATGGGTAAAGGAGAGGCCTCAGGGTGTTGGGAAGCCTGGTTGGTGTAGGCAGGATGATTTGCCCGACTGTAGTGCTTGGGTCTTCCACAGCTAGGCAGCCCACAGACAATCCTTATGTGGACACAGTGGCCCCTGCTGTCCACCCCAATGGTGCAGGTGAAGGAACATTGCCCAGCACTGGCCCTGCCAGGACTTCGTGGCTCAAAACCCAGACGTTGGCCTTGCCAGTGTGGCTCACTGTGAGATGCTTTCTTCTGTGTGGCAGAAGTGCCTGACTATGCCACTGCACTCCCCTGATGTGGACAGATGTTCTCGCTCCACGCCCACTGCCAAAGCCAGAGTACCTCAGTGTACTTCTGACAGATGCAGGAGGCTTGGGGAGCTGCATCCACCCACGAGCCTTCTTAATTCTGTTCATCAGCTTCTCTGGAGCCACCTACATAAGATAGCCTTGACCCTGGCCCAGTCGTCATTCTCACCATCCTCAACAAAGAGTCCCCATACGTCCTGAAGAGCACAGGAAGGCTTTTCAGGGGGACTGGAGGAGCAGAGGTCGGCAGCAGGGCTGAGTGCAGTGGATTCACGGGCAATGATAAAATCCACTGGTTACTCCAGTGACTGCGCAAATTCTAGCGCTTTGCCACTTTAGTTAGCGTTGTTCACATTGGCGAAGGCACAGGAAAACTGCTTATTCATTCAACAAATGTGCACCGAGGGCCACTGTGTGCCAGACAGTGTTCTGGGTACTTAGAATTCACCTGTGAATGAAACGTGCAGATTTCTGCCTGCCTGGTGTTTGGAGACAGGGGTCACACAGTAAATACACCAGTACTCCCTGGGGTGCAGAGGATGAGCCCTGAGCAAGTTAGGGGGTAGAGGTGTTGGGAGAAGCAGTGGCAGTCTTGCAGGTATGCAAGGAAGTCTCTAATTCGAAGTGGCATTTGAGCAAAATCCCTGAATGAGGTGCAGAAACTGGTCTTGTGTGTATCCAGGGAAGAGCTGCAGGCTGAGGGGACACAAGTGCGGAGGCCCCGAGACCAGCTGGCACATGCCCAGCACACTGGAGGAATGGCAGAACAGGGAGAGAAAATCAGAGCGAGTAGGGGTCGGGTCCCGTACGACGGCGTAGTCCAGTAGTACTTTCTGAGATTATGGAAATGTCCTCTGTGCTGTGCCATGTGACGGGCACTAGACACCTGGGGCTACTGAGCATGTGGAATGTTCTAGTGTGTCTGAGGAACCAGTTGTTAGTTGTGTTTTGAGTAACTTGAGCTTCAGCACCTCTGTGTGGCCAGTGACTGCTGAGCTCAACGCAGCTGTGGTCACCACGGCTGCCTCCCCTGGGACCATGCGGTGAGAGGCTCACCAGGATTAGTGAGCAAGGGGAAGACCAGGGGGAATTGGGGCAGCACAGGGTCTAGAGGCTGCAGGGGAGGCCTTGTGTGAGGCCAGGTGACACGGCTGAGCCCAACTGCACACCCCTAAGATGGGCACCTCGCTGCCTTGTCCATGGAGCTGCAGTGAATGTGGGATATCATGGTGCAAGACATCGTCCCTGGTGTAATGCTTATTCTATTAATATACCCCAAGGAAGAAAACCCTGAGGAGTCTGAGAGCCATCCTCTAAGTGGAGGGGACGGGACTGTCTGAGGGGCCCAGGAGCCCAGCCTCTGCTGCCCTCCACTGCCTTTGCCTCCTCCCATCCTTAGCGCACAAGGTGGCACCTCTGCAGGAATGTTGACTCCTCTGGAATACTCTCAGCTGCCTGCAGATGTCCCAGTGTGTGACACGTAGAGGGTTTTCAGAAACAGTTGCTGTCGACATGGTGCATCTTCTGGCTGTTGAAGTGGTGAGTGTTTTCTCCACTCGGTGAATTGGAATCTATGTGGCATCTCCGGGTCTGGCCTCATGTCCTCTCCCCCCCACTTGGTGGCACGATGTCCATGGCCACTCACACCCGCTGCCAGGGCAGTGAGCAAGTGAAAGAGCCGCAGTTTTGTCTGCCTGGTTATTATATGAGTTTTAAGAATCTATTTTAATAAAGACTGACTCATTATTTCAGTGCCACATCTGTGAAGATTTGGGGGAGTGCCCTGAAACCTCATTCTTTGCTTCTTGGGAACTGTGTGATGCTAAGGCCACATCCAAAGACTGAAGTGGATGCTTCCAGCACCCTGAAGGGTCTGGGCACTAGTTCACAGGGCTCCAGCTGACCACTGTTCCGCTGGTCTCCTGTGGCCACCAGGAAACAGATGAATTGAGAAGCAAAGTCATCAGAGTCCCTGAGGATCGGGGGAGGAAGACTCTTCATCTTTGAACTAGAGCAGTTGAGCAGCGCAGGCTTTGTGTCCAGCAGACCATCCGCGTCTAGACCCAGCTCATGGCACAGAGCCCTGGGAGGAGCAGGCAGCAGAGTCAAGACACCCTGGCCACCACCTGGGCAGCTCTGTGATTTGGGGAGTGTTTTGACCTTTGTTCTTTGTAAAATGGAAATGACAATAAAAATAGTAATAACACTGATTTCCAGAGTTGCTGCAAGAATCCAATGAGCTCAGATATATAAAAAAAAACTTTGTAAACTTAAAAAAACAAAACAAACAAACTTGAACAACTGAACAATACACACAGATCCATCGCTGAGGACTGAGGACATCCATCCCAGTGTGGTGACCCATCGGTGGGAAGCTCTTCAAGGCCAGGGGCTGGGTTGGGAACTAGCAGTGGTTGTCCATCAGTCTGGCTTTCTGCCTCTCTGCACTGGGTCTTTGGACCTGGATGGGTTTGTCACCGGCTAGACCTTCCGAGCACCTCGTGCAGAGGTGCCCCTTCTGTGGTGCAGCTCAGCAGCCCAGCACCAGCCCTCACCCCCCACAGATGCTTGTTTTCAGAGGGAGGTGATGGGGCTGTCCATGAGTGAAGGGCACAACACGAAGACATTCAGACTCTTCCCTGCACATGCTTCATCAAAGTGAGGAGCTGCCCTGGGCTGGAAGTCGTGCACCTCCCCCAGCGACCTGTGGTCCTTGCACCCCCTCAATGAATTACATGTCCCCGTGGGCCATTTCATGTTCCTTCTCTGAGAGCCATAATAACGGTAATTTTCATTTTTCCTCACCGTTCTGGAGACCCCCTGGGAGACAGTGTGCAGAGTAAAGAGAGCAGAATTTCACAGACATGGTTCTACGGAGGGGGTGCTGCATGTCCCAGGCACGTAGAGGAGACGCCACACTAGTGCCTGTCAGGAAGGAGATGTGGCAGGTGAGCAGTCACCTCCCCCTCTGTGAAATGATGCCTCCGATCCCTGACCTGTAGGTCTCTGTGCGTGGTGGTGCGGATGGGTGCTGTGTGGACAGAGTCACCAGCTTCCATGTCAGGGCCACCTGGAGAAGTCCTTGTTTATTACTTGGGTGAACCCATCAAAACCTGCCTATTTTCTGTCAGTTGACTAGACAAGAACCAAAGTCCTAACAGGAAGCCTTTATCATCTCAGTGCAACACCACAGCTGTCTGCACGATTATTATGGGCTCTGATTTGCAGTTTTATGTTCACTTAATTAACAAAAACAGGAAAGGACACAGTCATTGCCGTGGGCCTTCTCAGTGTGTGTTTGTGAGTAGGAACGTCTGGGGGTCATCGGGGTGCTGATGGCGGGTGGGGGCAGGGCACATCACACAGGTGTCCACGTACACTTCTGCTTAATGCCACAGGTGACAGCCTCTCTCCGAAGCTACCTGAGGAAAGGGCTGCCTTGCCATGCACTGCTGGTGTGTACTGAGCTCTCCAGCCCCCAGGCGTGAGGCCTCATGTTTAACAACCTCTGGTAGCTGGCCAAGGGAGCTGGGAAGCTAATGCACCATTTCTTTTTTAGGAAACAATATCTTGTGTAAGATACGACTCTATCTTTGCATAAAATAAATACGTACAGAGAGAGAGCCAGGTTTGTGATGAATCAGCATGAGTTTACCATGTTTTGATGGGAATGGAAAATTCACAACAGGGGCCCAGCAAGTGGAAAACCATTTAGAAAACAAGCATCTTCTATGCACAGGCGCCTGGGCGGGAGAGCGTTTGCAGGACCCCAGGCATTTGGCATTCTAGAAGCATAGATGTGCACCCATAAAGGGAAGGTTTGGGCAGTGGGTCTCATTGCTATGTTCATGTGGGAATCATCCAAACTGCTTAAAAATTCCTGTACCCCATCTCCTTCCCCACCTGCTATGTCAGAATCCCTAGTAGATCGGAGACCCGCCGTGTAACCGGACCACAGGGTAGCCAGAGCGGCATCTGGAGCAGCTTTCCTGCTAGGCACCATCAGCTCCTCAGGAAGGAGCCTGCACATTCTGGGTGGAAATCAAGCCACACCTACATCCTGACTCAGTTCAGAGTCAAGGGACACTTGAAGGGGACAGTGTCCTCCTTCCGTCCACACCAGCCCTACCCTGTCCTGTAAACTAGTGAGAAATCTCAGAACCAAAAGCAAATCCACATGGGGTAGCCCTCTGAAAGTCCCCAGTCCCATCTGCTGGTGGACACACCTTCATCCTCACCACCTGGGCACTCAGATCCCAGAGATCTCCAAAATAACTGGTTTCTGTAGGATTTTATCTACTATTGAACAACCCAAAGCCCTGTACTTGAGATTTTTCCTTTCTGTTCTTGGTAAGAGTTTCCTGGGCTGAGCATCCTTCCCTTGAGGCTGTACACTGGCAGGCAGTGACGATAACAGGAGCACTGTCACTATCAGCCACAGCAGCTGTCCTCCCGGGAGAGCTTGCTCCACCAGGTGCATTGCCCGTGTCCTGGGTGTCACCATTAATCTTCCTTCTCCTCTCCTGCCCCGCCCACTTCTCTCCCGCAGAGCGACTACTCCAGTGACACAGAGAGCGAGGACAACTTCCTTATGATGCCCCCACGTGACCACCTGGGTCTCAGCGTCTTCTCCATGCTCTGCTGCTTCTGGCCTCTAGGCATCGCGGCCTTCTACTTGTCCCATGAGGTAAGGCCTCTGTCAGCCGGTCGCATGCAGGGCCCAGGCCAGGGAGGCGTTGGAGAGCTTAGGAAGCCCCTCAGCTCCTGCTTCCAGGGGGTCTGCACTTATGCAGCTGGAGGAGACCAGGGGCACCAGGGCACAGGGCAGGGCTGTGCAGCGTGCCGTGGTGGGACTGCCTTCTGAGAGCAGGCATCCACTTGCCAGAAGAGAGACATCCTTGGGGAACTGACCTTCATTTAGGGCCTAGGGTCACACTGGCAAGGCAACCCAGTGCCAGGAAGTGCCATGCCCAGCGGAGGAGCCATCAAGAATGTAATGAGAGAGCAAGAAAGGAGGGTTTTGTGTTTCTTGTTAAAGGCTCGTTCATGTAAAACTGATTGTAGGTCCACAGCCCCAGTGCGCCTGTCCACAGTGCATGCTCTGCTGGTGGGAAGACATGTCCTAGTGAGTGACTGTGCCCTTCCCTCCAACACGAGTCATCTGAAGGTGGTGGTTTCCAGCCCTGTTCACTACAAAGTATCCTCTGTGTTGTTCCCTCTTGGAACCCAGGTTCTGAAGAGGTTTGAAAGATTTTTCTCTAGCAAATAAAGAGCCCTCATTCAGAAATCACCTATATTCATATTCTTAGTAGTCAAAGACAGACATGTGTACTTGCCAGTTAAAGCATGAGACTGAAGCATCTCTGACCTCACTGCTGTCATCACAGCCAGCACAGGGGAGGCGACCCCCGATGGCCCATGGGGTGCTGGGGACAGGCAGAAGATCCCTGAGGTGCTCTGGTTCCCTCTCCAGCTTCTGGGGTTCTGGGGCTGGGGTTGCAAATGGCTGACTCTGGCAGGTCCTTTGTTTGAAATAGATTTTTCTCTTGGCTTGAAAATAGATTCCCTGACTGACTCTAGCAGTGGCTTCTCACTGGTTTCTGTCCTGACTGGGTCTATTTGTCTGCCCTGCCCTGATGCGGGTTCTTTCCAGGGGGAGTGGGGTAGTGACAGGTGTGGACCCTGAGGCCAGGTGCTTCTCAGCAGGGACATAGGGAGTGCTGCACTGTGCTGCTCTGATGGTGGCTCTGGAAGAGTGGCCACGTCGTGGGGGATCCTACACTGCCAGGGTTGGGTGACACTTGCTCCAGGCCCAGCTTTGGCCTCAAGGGTCTTTCTGAGCTTCTCTTTTGTGGATTTGACCCCCAAATGCCACAGACTCCCTCCCGGTGGCACAGGCACAGGGTGGAAAGCCACATTCCTGGGTCTGTGGGGCCCAGGTGGCTGTGTGGTAGAGGTGGGCTGGCTGAAGCCGGATTCCGAGGTGAGGCAGCAGGTGCCGTAGGCACTGCATGTTGGAAGGCACATGGGGTCTGGAGAAGGACTGCAGAGCCTGCCTCTGCCTGTGAAAAGCGCACCCCAAAGCCCAGTTTAGGATGCTGCATGAAGGCAAGAGCGGTCTCGCTGTGAAAAGGGGTCAGGTCAACACAGCTGAGCTAGCTAGCTCCTCACATAGCAATGCACTGAGGACTTTTCCCAGGGCCTGAACAGGGGACATCCAGTGTACCCCAAAGTCTCTCCGTGCACCCCAGCCCTGCATCATCTCCAATGGAGAAGGACAGGGGCACACCCGCCTTCCTGGGGCCCAGCACGGAGACAGCTCTTCCCACCCTTGGCAGGGCACACCTTCAATGTTGGAGCTGTTTGTTTATTGCCAGGTTTTAGAACAGGATTCTATTTTCATCTTGGACTCCATGGGGAAAGGTGTTACCTGTTCACAGAGGTGAGAACAGAGATGCTGTGTAAACGTGCCAGCAGGGTGTTGGATGAGCCCTGGATAAGCAGCAGGGGGTACAGTGAGAGGCGGGGCCTTTGCCATCAACATGCTGCTGACCTGTGACCTGTGCCATGCTGTGGTCTGTCCAGCTCCACAATTCCTGAGGTGAAACTGAGGCCTCTGGAGCAGGGCAAGCTGTGGACAGCATCTCTGTCCACAAGACTGTGATTATAATGAAAGTCAAGGCTGAAGTGCAGAGACTGGTGCTCAGAGCCTCTTTCTCAGAAAGTAATTATATTCTTAACACAGTAAGGGCTTCTTAGACTTGGGTCTGATGGCTCATGATGTTTAATGTCTTAGATGGCAGAGAGGGTTGTTATTTGTTTAGTGGCAAATAGGAAATGCAGTTTCTGTAGAGGCTTCCGCTCACGTTTTTTGAGGTGAAGCTCAAGCATGTTTGCAGAGTGTAGTGGTTGCTTTCGCTGCTGGAGTAAGAGGGGCTCCTGGGACCCACCTCCCTCAGCTCCCTCTTCATTGTGCTTGAGAGTGGATTTCCCTTCAGTGGACCCATGACTGGGAAGAGACACTAACAGTTTTATAAGGAAATCTCTGGAGGTGAGTCCCTTCACAGGGCTTGTATCCAAATCCCTTCCAGTAGGAGTTCCCACGCAGAGTCCTGTTCCCATGCAGCACTCCCAGTGCAGTCTGCAGCTGTGGCGTCCTGGGCTTTGCTGCAGCTCCAGAGGCGACTGCCCCTGCACCCAGGCTTCAGCTGGGCCACAAGGCTGCTGTGCATTGTTTATGCCTATAAAGCCCAACCTGCAGATGCAAAGTCTCCAGCAGGCCAGTGGGGGCAGGCAGCTGGGATTGGATGGTGTGTGTGATGGAGTAGAGCAGATGTGCTCTGAGAGCCACTGCACGAAATTAAATCAGTGCTTTCCTAGGCCAGGCCAGCCAGGAGTGCTAAGCTGGGTACTGGAGAGAGCAGCCCAGAGCCCCCGCAGCAGGGCTTTCACAGCTCCAGTGCTCCTGCTGCTCTGGGGCTCGGGGGGTGGGGAGGGAGGTTGCAACTGCAGCAAAGAGCCCAGGTGTGAAGCCAGGCCCCGACCCAGTGCCACACCTGAGAAGCCCAGGCATCTGAGTGTGGCGTGGGGTTTCTCCCTTCATGACAGATCCTATCGCAGTTACTCTTTGTAAAAAACTATTCAGGGAAGTCAAAAGAACATGCTAGGCTGTTCCTGGAGAACAAAACAAAATGAATCATGGTGCTTTGGTTAAATCAGACAGTGATGAAAAGAATTAATGGCATCCCTGGCTTGTGAACCCCTGGGTATTCTTTGTTCTGTCCTCTTCTAGTCAGATCCCATTCTGCGGACAACTCCTCCAGGCTCAGTTTCCTGATCCACGCAATGGTATTAAAATAACTTGAACTGTGTGGAGCTGGCCAAGGGATAGAGAACTGAGCACAGGGAGGGTCCGCAGCAGGTTCTGGGACAGCAGCGGCTGACAGTGCTCTGCTGGAGACCAGGGGCAGAGGGACAATGGATGCCTGCAAGGAGACAGACAAGCTGTCCTCCAGCACACTTCACTAGTTCTAAAAAGGTGCTGTTAAGTAGTAGTAACAGAAGGAGTAAAAGTGCTAGTAAGGTGGGTGTTAAATACCACGTGGCCTTACTTCTGGGGCATGGCCCTGCACCAGCAGCATGAAATGCATGTTATCTGGCCCCACTGCAGACCTGCTCAATCAGAGTCTCTGCGGTGGGGCCCAGGACTCTGCACTTAAGGAGCCTTCCAGCTGATTCTGATGCCTCTTCATTTTGAGCAGTGCTGTTGTACCTCGGTCTTGTAGGAACCTGTGACCCAGGCACAGTGATCACACTCACTTTGTGGTGATGGAATTGGGACTCAGGGAGGTTGAGTGACATGCTGAGGCCAGAGTGGTCAGTGGTGGCCTAGGGCTACTGGGACGGTCTGGCTCTAGGGAGGTAGCAGGTTTGGCCCTCAGCTGTGATGAAGGACTTAACATGGGCAGGGTGGGGCAGAAGAGTGTAGCATGTCGTCCCCAACTTCATTTTGCCCCAGCAGTGTTAATTGTTTGATGCAGCCAAGTTTTGTAAAGCAACTTCAGGAGAGGAGGGTGTGAGTGTGTGCAGTTTTGGTGGCGTGGATGCGTCTAGGACGGATGCTTCTGAGAGATGTTGCGGGTGGGAATGAAACCCATAATTTGCTGAGTGACTGCTGTGAGCTAGCTAATGCACGCACTTTAGTTATTCTTTGCAATGAATCTCAAAGTTGGAAAATTATCATCTCCATTTTATAGATGAAAATAACAGAAGTTTCAAGGGATTAAATAATTTATAGAAATCACAGAGGTAGTAAGTATGGGTACATGAGGCAAATATAAATATTTCTCACCATTAAAACTAAATTTTCTGCAATATAACCTGGACTTTTGTCTGTTCACAACTAAAAATGGAAGCACAGCACTTGCTTCCAGTTCCATGGCTGCCCCACATAGAAAGTGTGGCAGGAGAAAGGGAGCCCATTGCAGACATGACGTGGTATCTGCCCTCATCACCCTTTACACAGTCACATGTGACAGATGACAACTGGAGCCTGGAGCTGGAGACCCTCCCCTGAGGAAGGCCACGGCCTGGGCTAAGAGGGGCTGGGCCTGCTGGCAGACGTCTTCTGCATTTGAGCATGTATTATGGCTTGATTTCATTTCATTTCATAAAATGTTTCTTTCCTTTACTAACTGCAACATTATGACAATAATTAAATGAGAAAAGGGTTTTAAGAGCCAGATTATGAATTTTATGAATAGCACCAGAAAAGGGAATTGGGCAAATCAGAGGGAAAAAGGAATCTCTTTATGGTACTGGAAATCCAGAAGAGCAAGGGTCCAACCTAGCCAACAACAGTGTTTCTTGATGTCTGTTATTCATGGAACACTTACCCCATGCCAGGCCCTGGTCTGGATGTCCAGGATGCAGCAGCAGACAGAACAGACCTGACTCCCCCTCACAGAGCTGACGTGCTAGTGGAGAGAGGCAGGTGGCAAATAAATACAATTACAGAATGCCCAACAGTGCTATATGCAAAGGAGAAAAATAAAGTTGGAAATGGAGATGGGGAGAGTTGAGCTGGGAAGTGACATTTTAAATAGGCTGGTCATGGAAGGACTTGCTAAGCCAGGAGGATCTCTTGAGGAAGAGCTTTCCAGGTAGAGGCAGAGCTGTTGCAAAGTC